ACCACCGGCTGAATGGAATTTCCACCGGCAGTGTGGTGTGGCCACCGGCACAAAGTGAAGCTGTCGGCAGAGAAATGATTGCCGGTCGGCGCCTTACACTGCCGGTCAGCAGAGTGTTCCTGCAGAATCTGCAAATGACAGCAACAGAGGGAAAGGCAAAGCATGGTAGCACAATTCAAGGCATATATGCACCAACCATGTCCCTTATTATGATAATGACTCAAAGGGGTATGTGCCTCGATTCTCGAACCACCAATCACGCATTTCCATGCATGATGGCCCAAAGAACCCAGTATGCAACTTTGATTTCAAATGCATGCAAACCAAATCAAACCAAAGTCCTAATCCCTATCACCAAATCAAGGGACAAGGAATGCATGCAAAATGCAATGCAACCTAAGCATACAAGCTAAGGATGCAACAAGCTGACTTAGTTTTTATCATTTCCAGGTGTTAGAAGGACTTAGAGTGGACTCATGGCGTAGCGGGGACTCAATTGTATGGACCTCTAGGGCATTCCTTTAGTTTAGAGTGTTATGTCAAGTTTGTGCATATTTATATTTATTCTTATCGAAGTTCATTTAGGATTATTTTTGATATGTGGGTTGTTTATATCCCATAAGTTTGGATGGCTTTTGATTACGGTTGATTTTGCCGTTCATAATTGTGGCATGTCTGGATTGAGTTTTGGTTATTTATTATTGGACTATTGTTCAGTTGTTCAATGTGATTGGATTCGTGTTTAGACTTACGTGTGCCTTGGGCTAAGTCACTGTGGGCTACGGCCGGTCATGCCCGGATTTGGGGTGTGACAACTCAATTTTCAAATAACTTAATCTAGAAAACTCAAATCAAACACAGTAGTATTTTAGAGTCTCCTCTATTTTTTTCATCCTCCCTCTGTATTTGGAGAATCAATTCATCCTCCTCTCAAATAGAGGAAGATATAGAGAATGAGTCGAAATTATTTTTGGAAAAGAATCCTCCATATTTGAAGATATGGAAGATGGGTCTAACAACAACTTGTCGAAAAATGACTCAGATCCCTGGGGGTATTAGGGTCGGCTCCTCTTAGACCAAAAAATTATTATTATTTTTTAATTTTCAACCAGTCCCAATACGACACGTCACTGGGTTGTCAGTGGAGTCACCCTACTGGGGTCACCCCACTGGGGGTTTGTAGCATTTCCCTAACTTGTCTGGAGCTATTCCTCTGTCTTTAGCCAAAGTCCCTCAACTTGCTTTCTTGTGAGTATGCCTCCCTCTGGTTTCTTCTCTCTCTCTCTCTCTCTGTCTCTCTCTCTGTGTTTTGTTTGTGTTTCTCAGTGTCTTGGAAATCGAAACAACCTACAATTTTTCTCACTGCTTTTCTAAATCAGAGGTTTTGGTTCAAAATGCATAAGTAAGTCTGTAGTTTGTTTTTTATAATCATTCAGGGATTTGTCTTATAACAATCTCAGTGGACCTGTCCCCAAATTTCCTGCCCGAACATTCAAGTATGGATTCTCTGCACAACTCTCTCTCTCTCTCTCTCATACGTTGTGTGGATAGTGTTTATTCGTGGTTTTATTTCAATTACTGATTATTCTTCTCTCATTTTTCATATAGTATTGTGGGTAACCCTCTTATTTGTGGAAGCCACTCAATTCAAGGTTGCTCTGGATCAGCCTTTCCTATTCCTCTTTCCTTCTCTCTTCGTTTATCCCCTGGTATCTCTCTCTCTCTCTAAATATAAATATATATAAGCAATTTATCTCTGTTAAATTTTGCTTCTACAATATTCTAGGAAAACTTAGCTCCAAGAAACTAGCAATTGCACTTGGGGTCAGCCTGAGCTTTGCCACTCTCATGCTCATAGCAGTTGGGTTCCTGTATTGGAGGAGAATTAAAAATAAAAAGCAAACCATTCTTGATATCAGTGGTCAGTGACTCACAAGATCTGTTTAAACGTTACATTTATAAATCAAATTTTAATAAAAACCTTAACAAGTCTTAATTATATATATATTTTTGTAGAGGTGCAAGAAGAGGGTCTAATGAAACTGGGCAATCTCAGGAACTTCACATTTAGAGAACTCCAAGTGGCCACGGACAATTTTAGCTCGAACAACATACTTGGTGCTGGAGGTTTTGGAAATGTGTACAAGGGAAAGTTGAGGGATGGCACAATGGTGGCAGTGAAACGGTTAAAGGATGTGATTGGAACGGCTGGGGAATCGCAATTTAGGACGGAATTGGAAATGATTAGCCTTGCAGTTCACCGAAATTTGTTGCACTTAATGGGATATTGTGCCGCCCCAGTTCAGAGGCTTCTTGTGTATCCTTACATGTCTAATGGAAGTGTGGCCTCAAGGCTTAGAGGTTGGTACCTCTCTTTTACTTCCCCTGCAGTCTCTACTATTGTCACCACTCACATTCACATGGCATGGGCATGATTCCTCTACTGCATGACCTATCAACTGTGGGTACTTCTTTCACTTTTTAATTTGTTATGGACCGCTATGTATCAGGGGCTCCAGACATTTTGATTCCTCACTTTCAAAGCATGTAGTTTGTGCAGCTGGGATCAACCATGCTTTAACTACTTTAGAAATATTGGTGGTTTTGGGGTGATTTTTGTCTTTACTCCAACCTAAACTTGTCTCAAAATGCCAATTTGTTTGGTAACCAATTTTCTAATCCTGGAAGTTCTGCAAACACCGTTATTTGAAATGAGAACAATTCATTTTAAATGGAAAACTGAATATCTGGACTATTTGATTTGTTAATAGATAAGTGACAAAAAATTTAATTAATTAATTAATTAATTAAAAATATAAAATAAAACAGTTATATTACCAAAACTTTGTTTAGCCTGAAATAATGTGGATGGGAATTCATTTTGCTCCAACCATTTTTATGTCACAAATTTAGGGCATTCTTTTTCCTATTTGACCTGGCATTCTTTAACAAAAAATTGCAAATAGTGAGTTTTCAATTTATGTGTTTGCTTTGTTTGATTTTTCTCAAACTTTCCACAGATATGGTAGTTGTTAAGTAATCAAAATGGTTTGGGAAATAAAACTTAGCCTACAAAAGAATTTCAGCCATAATGTGATGAAGATTAAATACAATTTTTGATTTTGATTTTTAAATTTCTTAGTCTTGATTAAATTTCAATTTCAAGGCATTTGTTAAAAAGTAATACTAGATAAATAAATCTAATTGAAGAGTGGTTAAATCAATTGCATCTACTTGGATTTGACATTGACTTGCATTTTACAAAGGAGCTGAATGGCTCCATCTCATATAATGAATGACAAGAGTTCCCAATCTAGAATGGGGCCATAGTCTTTCACTTCTGATGGAGAATATACAAATGCCACCACTTTTACTTTCATTAGCGCCGTTAATGGATTCCATTTCATGTAATAGCTCCATTAGTGAGGATGGATGTGTTTGTAAAGCAATATATGAGGGACATATGGATGTTCAATTCCCTTTTGGAATCCAGATGTGCACAAAAAAAAAAAAAAAAAAACTTGGCTATTGTGTGTTGTGCACCACATGTACGAATGTTACATCAATTAAAAAATTGTGCATTCTCTTGATATTATGAGCAGAAGTTGATACATTGTCTCCGTGAAAAGTTTTATTGTTCATGACGACAAAGAAGGAATAAAGTTTGTGGCATTACTTTCTTATTACCAATTATACTTTATCCCCAACATGCATTTTAACAAAGTTCCTTGTCAACTTGATTATGACCGAAAAACCAACACTAGACTGGAACACTAGAAAGAAAATTGCAATAGGAGCTGCACGGGGACTTCTCTATCTGCATGAGCAATGTGATCCAAAGCTAATCCACAGAGATGTGAAGGCAGCCAACATCCTGTTGGATGACTACTGTGAAGCCGTTGTTGGTGATTTTGGGCTTGCGAAGCTGATACCCATGCCATGGAACTCTCTGGACCAAGATAGAAGAGAGTAAGGTAGCAACAAAAAAGACGTACAGACTAAAGTGGTTTCTTTCTTTCAGATATTCTTTATCAAAAGCCAGAATCAGCTTTGTCCTTGAGAAGAAAAAGAGAGGTAAATAGGGCTCTAACCATATCTTTCTCATCTCTTACTTTTTCTAGTTTGGATTTCTATTGTAAATATTTGTTCTTTCCTAAGCCCAAGTCACTCACCTTGATTGGATAGGCTCAATACAAGTGTAAAACTTAGTCTCTATGTCTTTGTGATTTTGTTTTAGTTTGGTTTGACTGGAATTGTGGTGTAAATACATACCCTTTAAAATCCTCCAAAAGTAGTAGAAGATGTAGCAGTTGTTTTTGGAGTATTTTTATTTTTTGGTAATAATACCAAATTAATGTTATTTTGAAACAATTTTTTCAAATCCAAATTGTTTTAAAGCTATGTTTCTCGAATCCAAGTTGTTCTTTCAAGTCGCCTTTTGCCATGTTAAAAGCAAAGATTTTGATTAGTTTATTGTGAATTTTTTTTTAAGTTGTGTTTTAAAAATATGGTTTTAAAAAGCGGTTTGAATTTGAAAATTAAGTTCAAAATAATTCATATTTGAGAAATTTATTTTTAAAAAAGGAAAAAAAATTAGTAAACAGAATAATGTAGCTTGCATACTTGGCGAGGAGATGGGAGGGAACATCAGCAGGTGCTTTGGTAGCCTGTTCTGAGGTGTGAGACAAGTGAGGGAGTGAAGACTGAAATAGAAAGCAAAAGGGTTTAGACTAAAAGTTGGCACCCACTGTTCTAGCCGCCTCTTTCTGTGATGGGGGTTTTGTATGTGAAGTGGGTACTCTCTGATGCATTGTCTTTAGTGTTATTTTGTAGTGTCTGAAAATGATGTTTAAGACAATCTTATTGTCCCTCTCTCTCTTTTGCATTTTTCTTAAAACCACATTGTTTTGGGATACTATATGCAATACACTACGGTCATGTTTGTTTGGGTGGACATGAGCTTGGGATTGAACTAATAGTCTAATAAAATTATTAATCCAATGTTTGGTTAAACAATTAAATTACGGACTAATTATTTTAAACTTGACTATTAATTAAGATAGGATACATAATCCAACGGATTCGTAGTCTTAGGATTATTAGTCATGGGAATGTTAATCCAGTCCGCCCAAACAAACATGGCCTACAAGGATTCAAATTCACTGGATTGGGTAGTGTAGTGGATAGTCTCAAAAAAGGAAAATTATACAGATCTCTCATAAGATTTTGAGAAAAAATATAACAAACTCCATAATTTTGGTGTAATACTACAAAGTAAATATATTTACTTATTGTAATAATTTTGATGTATTTACTTGCATTGCATTTGAACTTAAGAAAAGCCCCAAAAAAAAAATATTTTTTCTTTTCTTTTCTTTTCTTTTCTTGGACATGTTTTACAAATATAATGTTGGTTCAAGACTTCCAGTATTAATCACATTGCCTGTTTGGCGTATGTGTTTTACTTCAAATTATTTTACGTAAATACTGAAAATAACTATCTATCATTTTGGGTATCTGTTGCCTGTTCCTTTGGTAAGCACGACGAACACACTTTGCTGTCCTTTAAGAAAAGAAGAAAAACTCCCTTCAGGAAAAAAATAAATAAAAACTGAGATTGGTCCTTAAGTCATAGAATCAACGTGTTCATAGTTTTTGGCTATTTCTAGATCTGTATTTTAATCTGCTACTCTGCTTTGATCTTCAAATGAATGAAACTTATTGGGGGCAAAACACAGCCTAAATTAAAAGAGCAATATGTTATTCATAATTTTATTTCTTACTTTATTTTCTCACTTCTAAACACAAAACAATGGATTTCACAACAACCTGTGTCCATCTCATCAGATAAACATAATCTGTAAATGCATTGTCACAACTTGTACCCTAGTGTCACCTCTCGAATGAAGACAAAGTTTGTAAATGCAAAATTTTGTAGCTTGATGAATTAAACAAACAAGTGCACATGAAATTGTAGCATCCCATTCATCGGCAATGGAAAAAGAGCACTGGTAAAGTTAAGCACATTAACTACATCCAATCTTCCATGAAGAAATAATAATCACCAAATGACAAGATTCATAGGGGGAAAATGAAAGCATCAATATCAAAATTGTTATTGAATGATTCTGCTTGCTTTGCAGATTCAAAACACTCAGTTTAAATTTCTTCTCAATTGTTTGAAGCGACTTTTAAAAGAACTAGTTTCTTTATTAACGACTTCATTTGATCACCACTAAACCTTATAACCAAAACCAAGTCCATAGCTTTTTTAACACTGTATAAATGACACAAAACCTCAGCTGCAGTACCAAATACATTAAGCAGAGCATAAAACAAGGTTAGGCCGCTACTTGAAGACTGAAGTTTAAAGCACCTGATAAAAAAACTAGACAACCCACTATAGTGTCATCATGTGTTTACTTGAAGAGCAATCATAGTGAAGAATCTCTTGCTTTTTGTTCCATAGTGTCACATTGAAAGAAGAAAAATTATACAAAATAAAACAATGGAGCATCTATAAGATCATATGAAAAGGCTACAAACCAAAATTTATATTGCCTGGAAATTAACAGTGACGACTCTTTAGACAAATGATACATCTCAACAACTGGTAATTAGATTGGTAAATAATGGTAACAATAAAAGAGAAGGATGTAACCAAATGTGTACAATGCAAACAACAAAAACAACTGACCCATTACATATTGTTTGGTTTGTGTTTCTCAAAAATTTTTGGGAAAAATTCTCTACAAATAAGTTTTTAAAAGTAATCAAACCAAACAAATTTTTTCAAATTTTTTTTCCAAAACTTGTTTGGTTTACAAGTTTTCCAAACAAATCTCTCTCTCATACACATCAAATCAATCATTTTTTCCAAAACTCTCTCTCAAAATAATTTTCCAAAACATCTTTTGAAAAAAACCAAATCAAACAACTTTTCGTACTTTTTATCTCTAAAACCCATCTCCCAAACTCAAACTAAACATACCCTAATAGTCTCCAAGATTCATCATTCCTGCGACATTAAAAAACACTATCTTGTTGTGACAAAGCCAGTAACTCAGGCGAAGTGCTTATCATTTTTAACGGGATCTCTTCTCTTAACCCTGTTCCTCATCATCTTAGCCCACCTTCCAAAAAGATTGGAGGCCTCAAACTTTCCCAAGAACTTCATCTTTTGGGACAACTCCTCTAGTATGTCAGGTTTGCCAATTCTAGAGAAATCAGCAGCAAACTTGTTGTAATCAAGCTAAGGAGCTTTCATTCCTATATCATTTCCTTCACATATTTACAAGCTTCCTCTGATCTTCCCTTCCTTATAAGCCCTTCAATTAAGACAATGTAAGAATTATCATCAGGGCAACATCCCTTCCGAATCATCTCCGCCCAAACTGCACAACCCATATCGTAATTTTTCGTCTGAAAGTAGGACTTCATCATCATATTGTAAGTGTGGATTGTTGGTTGAAAACCACTTCAAATCATCTTTTTGGAAATCCTAACTGCATCATCCGGCATTTGCCTATTTGTCATCAATTTAATCAAGGCATTGTAAGTTTGCACATCTGGTGGGCATCATTTTTCTTTCATCTCCTTCAACAATCCATAAACTTTGTCCATCTTCTTTTGATTCCCAAACCCAGTAATCAAACATGTATAAACTGCAGCATCTGGCTTATAGCCATAATCAAGCATATCCTCAAAGTATTCAACAGCTTCTCTCATCTTCATTTGCTTGCATAAATCCCTAATCAAGATTGTATAGCTTCGAGCACTAGGATATGGGCCCTTTGACTTCATGACCTCAAATAACTTGATCGCATTAGACCTCTTTCTACACCTTAACAACCCTTCAAGCATTGTATGATGGGCAACAATATTCGGTTTGAAACCTTTATCAATCATGTCATTCCACACCTTCCCTGCCTCCATTAAATTCTTCACCCTGCACCACCCATTAAGCAAAACCGTATAGGTCCTTAAATTCGGTGTAAATCTTTCTTTAGACTTTCAAACAAGAGTTGAGCTTCCTTTCCAAGTTTTGCTCTCCTAAGTGATTCAAGCAAACAATCAATGGTATCAACGCCAACTTTGAATTTATACTTTTTCATCAATTCAAAAATCCCAACTGCTTTCTTCCTCTCTTAAGCCTCTGCAAAGGCTTTAATTGCAATCTGAAAAGTCTCCAATGTGAGCAGCCCTCTCTCATCAATTTCTTCGAGCACTATCACCATGGTTTCGAATTGCCTAGCTTTCCCAAGTATCAACATCATCTTATTATACGTCCTGGAATCGTGGGAGTAGCCAGGCCGAGACCTCTGCCCTACCCAGCAGAAGAAGCGAAAGGCCGGACGCCTAGCGTGGCGGAACCGTTCCACCACTTGGACAACCAAATCATGGTTAAGAATAACCCACACTCATCCAAAACAGCCTCCATATTCTGATCCAAAGCAAACAATTCATCGACCACCTTGCATACCCTATCAACTTCTTTCCAATCCGCCATGGAATTGACATTTTCACACTGAACACTCTCGCAATTCTCAACATCCGTGGTCTCAGAATCAGAATCCCCATTTGAAACCCTACTACATAAACCTCTATGAGTAGTAATAGTAGTAGTAGTAGGAGGAGGAGGAGGAGGAGGAGAAGAAGGAGAAGGAGGAGGGTTTGGAGGAGCTAGGAAGAAGGTTTGTAACTTTTCTTGTAGAGGACAGAGGAGAGAGAGTGGAGGGGGGTGTGACATGAGATGTGGAACTTGACAATTTAGGCGATGGAGAGTACAATGAGGAGGAGAATGATGCAAACGAGAGAGGGACAGAGAGCTACCATGCATATGGAAGACCACTTGCCTTCGGCTTCCTCCTCCTCCTCTTCTTTCGGCTTCCTTCTCCTCCGATCGACATAGCGTAAGGAGGATTGGAAGAGTTGGCCATTTGGGTTGAAATTGAGATACAAAGATGTAGATGA